TTTATATGTGTGTATATGTTTATGTGTGTGTGTGTGTGTGTGTGTGTGTGTGTGTGTGTGTGTGTGTATAAAACTAACGGTTGGGGATCCCTGGGTGGCTCAGCGGTTTGGCGCCTGCCTTTGGCCCAGGGCGCGATCCTGGAGTCTCGGGATCGAGCCCCACGTTGGGCTTCCTGAATGGAGCCTGTTTCTCCCTCCTCTCTGCCTCTCTATGTCTATCATGAATAAATAAATAAAATATTAAAAAAAAAACAACTAATGGTTAAGGAAAGAGATACCATAGAAATTACTTATCCAATCAGGAAATTGGGAATTTCTGCTGCTTTTTATAAATGTAGACTTAACAAATATTTTTAATATATATACTGTATTATTATTAGATATGTTATATTTATATGTACATATTTATACATGTATATATAACAATGATGTATTTGATATATATATACATATACATATGATTCTCAGTTCTAAAGCATACACTCTTTTGAATATTAAACAGCTGCAACCCTTGATTATTTCCAACTTTGGTTTTGTTATTCGGAGAAATGAAGGATTAAGTAGTAGGTTAAGCCGGCAGGCTGTCAGACAGGACATCTGTGACTGTTTGATAAACCTGAATGGATCCAGTGCAGAAGTTCAAGGTTAAAAGTGTCATATTACAGAAAGAACACTGTTCTACCCTCAAGGAATATTTCAACATATTGATTTACAAAGCGTCCTCTTTGTGAAGACTCTCTTTCTGCAGGGGTTAAAATAAAGTGAACAATATGAACATGCTTTTAAAATTGCCTTGTGTCAGAGAACTCCAATTTGTGTCTGCAGGAACTTTAACAGCTCCTTTGCAATTTATTAAGTTCATTAAAAAATACATGCCTCACTTATTGAGCGCGAATTGGCCAGGCATTTTGTGAGGCACTGTAGATACAGTATCTCTAATAAGGTAAGTCTCAAGTGGCAACCATTGGCTTAGAATTCCTATTTTTCTGTATGAATTATTAAAACAAATATTTCCAAATTTATATTTTAATTTGATTTTCAAAACGCAAACTTTTAGAGTGAATGTATCTTATTCTGTTACATAATCTTTATTAGCAAATACTCTTTTAACAAATAAGTTACTCCTGTACTTTTGTGAATGTACAGCTGTCTTGTGAATAGACCAAAGTAATATTTAATATTTGCGCTATAGTTCCATTCTAAATTCTAAATATAGACTAGCAGAAATAAACATAAAAAGGGACAGAGAAATTTTGTAAGCTTTAATGAGTATCTTATTTACTCTATTAAATTATTTAATACCTTAGTGTCTAACATTCTGTACTAAATAATTTTTTTTTATTTGTTGACTTTCATGGTATATTAGAAATTTGTAACTGCTCTGAAATCAGAATAATTTGTTAAATTTAATTTGTTAAACCTGTGCCTGTTAAAATCACATAGTCTATGAAGGGGTGGTACTAAACATATGTAGGCAGGGTTTCAAACATAAAAAGTATAAACTTACATTTTTTTTCCAGTCTCCTGTCATGGAGGCTTCAAAATGCTTTCTTCAAATTAAGAATACCAATACTTACAGAAGTGTAACATTCCAATGAGTGAAGTGACACTGTTGGAAAACAATAGCAACATGGCTACTCTTTTTAACATATAGAAATGCCTACAAATTAATTATGTGTTTTGATGTTTATTATTGGTAAGGTAATTTTATAATAAAGAAAATAATAATAAACATCTATTTATATCCTAAATGCCATAGTTTCTATTAATAAATGAAGAAATGAAATAGCTGTTTTCTCAAGGAGAATAATCTGCTTTACAAATGAAATATGTTTTATTTCCTGATTTTGATTTTGCATGATTTTGCAAATATTATTCTTGCTGCTGAGCATGTACAGACTAGTGCAAGGAAGTATTTCAGGACTTAACCAATTTTTAAAAATAGAAATGTTAGTTACAGATAATTTGTAAGAGGTAGCTTCAATTTTGTACCTCTATATCAGCGCTACGGATATAGTGGCAAGTATCTATTTTAGAATAAAGCAACTCAACATTTCACATAGAGTCATGAATAGTTAGTTACACCCTGCTTTCAAGTACTGGAAGCAGACTTAGACTTTATTGGAGAACATCTTCTATGAGTGAGACCATGTGGGATTGGGCAAAGAGAAATATTGAACTGTGATGCAGTTACAACAGAAGGCTCAGTCTATCCTAGATCTTAAGGGGAGGTCTAGAGCAAAAATAGAGCTTCAGAGTTGTCCTGCCTTGAAGCAAAAGTGAGGAGCTGTGACACTCTGGTATTAATTAGTCTTTGCATTCAGAAGGAATTTGACCTTAGGTGAGGCAGCACCCTTCGGCCCAAGGCAATTTATGTGGAGAATCTCAGGTGTGAGTCATTAGCTACCAGGGCTATCAGCACTTTTGGGAGCTGGGGAAGGGGGCTCTGGAAGCACTCTACAGCATCCACTACCCCTGTATTTGCATAGCCAGTAGTGAAAAAGTATGTAGTCACATGTGCTTTGCTTTTCAACCATTTTTTTGGTTTATCTCTTCAAACAGGTAAGAAGAGATGGACTCAAATAGTTTTGCTTAGGTTCCCCAAATTTTATGACTCTTCTTTCATATTTTGTATCCCCTAGTAAGGAAAACCCAGTGGCAACATGGAAAGAAGGTCTTGAGCGTATAAGTGTAAATGAAATACTTATCTCGGAAGAAGAGAGGTGGGAATTAACTTTATCAAGCAATCAACTTTGTGCCTCTCATTGTACTGGATAAAATAAATAAGTTTGAACTATCTCTTTAACCTTTTTGGTCATCCTGAACCTAAGGGGGACTTATAACTAAAATAATTACAGAATATGTTCCTGTTAAATTGTATTCTTTTAATTATAAGAATGGAATGTTTCAATGGAAACTACATTAACAACTCAAGAGTTTTCCAACTTATTTTTTTCTCCCATCATATTATGTTAACCCTTACCTAATTTCTGATATTTTAGGCTCAACCAAGGTAAAGGCTATATAGGTACACCTTTTGGAAAACATGATGTGTGACAGATAAAAATAATATAAAATTATTTATTAAAGCTCACTATTATTTGTGGACATGTTTAAACCTCATCATTAATTTTCACCCAGATATATTTTACTTTGAGTTTTCTAAAGACATACTGACCAAAATTTATTTTGGTTCTTTAACTTTTTATCAAAATAAATTTTTAGTAATACTAAACTCAAGGCATATCATCAAAGTTTTATGGATGCTCTCTCTAAGAAAATTTAGACACCCACACTCAATATACTTACAGGTGGACAATAAAATAAGTTTACTATGTGCTCTGGTGAATGTAGACTTGTGTTTTTTTGTTATTTGTGTTTTGTTTTTATCTATGTTTATTTTAACATCTGCCCTCATTTTCTGACTTATACTACTTTTTATTTTAATTGGTAATAATTAAATTTGGTTTAATTATTTAAACCAAATAATGGTTTGCTGATTCAAACTTGCTGCCATTGGCCTTTGCTGTGGTTAAGGAATATTTTAAAAGGGAAGTGAAAAGAGTGGGAAAAATACTGGGTTTTGTTAATTTGGCTCCAGCTGATTTTATACCTAGAAACAGGAGAGTTAATGGTTTTTTTGTATGGTTAATTACATCTTGTGCTGATGGCTTCTGTTGTAGACATTAAGTCACCTTGTTAGCAGATCTATTGGTCTAGTAGTGTTAGATTTGCCTTTGGGAAATCATTTTTAGAATGTTTACCTTGTTTTCAGGTAACTGATTGAGGGCAGGATGATGGTTGTGTCCAGTTTCCAGAGAACCAGTTGTGAGATTTTTAAAAGTTATTCCTATGAGTCTCACTCTACTTTGTTTTGAAAACAAAATGGCAGGCCAGTGAGTGGCACAGACGTGAGCCTCTCTTATCTCTTCTGTCTCTTAGAGTTCTTCTCCGTGAGAAAGGAAAAATCCCACTGTATTTTGTTTTCCTAATGCTTCTTGGATTTTCACCAGCAGGTTTTTACAGTCTGTTGCTTGCCTCTCAGATTAGAAGAATGCTGGCATATTTTAACGGTTTCCTAGGATTCAAACAGCCTTTAATTAACAGCAAATTGATGTTTTGGAATGTTACCAAAATATGGGAGACTGAACACTGAGATGGGCTTCTTTCCTTCCAGCTTCTGAGTGCAATGGAGTCCTATAATGGGGAGTGGGGGAGAGGGATGGGGGTGCTCTGTTGCAAACAGCTGGTTGCCTTCTAGTATGCAAAGGGTGTTTTTGTTGGCATAATATTCCCACTGCTTGCTCATTGGTGGCCTTCTAAATTCCACCTACTCATGACTGGGAAAGAGGCAGGTAGTCATCGAATGCTCAAAGCTACTGGGGTGCTGAACAGTTCAGGGATTGCTTGGCTTGTAGCTGGGTTCACTTGTTTTAATCTTTCAGTTGCCAAGGCGGTAAGGTATGGCTGCCTGTCTTTGTGGTTAAGTTTCTTTTCCATGCCAAGTTTGTGTCATCTTGCTGCCAGAGTTTTGGATGTGGTAAAAAAAGAGAAATTCTGTAAAATAATTGCTTAGACTTGATGCATAGTCTGAGTAGAAGTTCGTTTTCAAAGAGGGATGGGAGTGCAATGGAGGGGTTTTCTTTTTGAATCAATGGATCTTAGTGAAAGATTTGTTGCTGATGTAATCCAGAGCTTTAGGCCAGAAAGGAAGGATAGATTGGGGACTATGCAGTGTATGAAATGGTAACTGTTACTTAAACAACCATACAGTTATAATCTGAGGAGGGAAAGGGAGCAGTTTAACTAACTCCCTCTGCCTAATGGCAGATCTGCTCATTGGCCAGCTCCTAGCTGAAGCCACTATACTCCATGTCTTGTTTTTTCCAGTGACCCATAAAGCTGGCCTTTTGGGCTCAAGGGACACCTTGATGGTTTTTTGTTTTGGTTTTTAACATGCACAATGTCCCTGATTGTTCCCTTTGCTCTCCTCTGTTTAGGTGGTACATGCCAGAGCCCTGCTCTCCCAGCCCTGGTCCGTCCACCAGCCCCTCCTCTGCAACCTTCGCTGGATATCAAACCCTTTCTTCCCTTTCCTCTGGACACTGCAGCAGCAGTCAACCTCTTCCCCAACTTTAATGCGGTAAGTCCCAAGGTCATATTTGCATATGCCAGAGTGGTAAGTGCCAGGAGTACTTTGTTGTTATTGTTTTTCTTTTTTGAAAGGATTATTTTAGCTTTTCAAATTTAATGCTCATGTAAAATGTTTTGTTGGTTCTCAGAGGAGAGTCTGCTGCAGGGTTGTTTCAATACAGTATTTGAGGTCATAGGGTTCCTTTTGTATAGCTGAGCCTTTGGGACTTGTTATGAACAATAAATTCATTTGCCCACAAGATTGTAACCCTGGTGCAGAATAGAAAGGGAAGTTGACCCAAAAGAAATAAGAGTAGTCCTGATGTGCCAGGGGTGAGTTGGTCACTACCCGTGTATTGTCAGAAAGCTACAAGGTAGCTGGTTGTCTGGAAATGTGAGGTCCCTAGAGCCAGGCTCCTTCAAGAGAAAATGAAAAGAGATTTAATCCAACTGAGTTGGTCTTGGGTTCATGTCTCTCATTTAGTGTCTTTCTGGGTAATGCTAATGATTCCTGTATTTTGTTGGAATATATCTGAATTAAAACTTAATGATTTTTTTTTTTTTTAAGAGAACATTAGAATTCAAGTAGATGTCGAAAAACTTAACCATGTTTCTTCTGTCTGGGTCGAATACTTTAATTTTCAAATTTGTTGCTTCTTTTCTAATTTAATAAAGAGAACCCTGATAATCACAATAGTGATTAATTCCTTTGGGAAAGCACTTATTTCCTCCTTAACTTAAAGCAACTCAGCATTCTGGTAATAGGAGGCTTTTTTTGTTCATTTTACTTTGTTTTGTTTCGCTTCATTTTCCCTTCTTACCCTGTCACAGTTGCTCAGATTGTCTTTCTTAAATTACTTTGTTTTTTGGGCTTTGTTAATGGCCTTCTCAACATAGGTTCAATTATTTCTTTGCTTCTATTTTCACTTTTAGCATGTCTTTGTAAGTAGACAGATTCCTCATATTCATCATCATCTCTTCTTGTACAAGCAGTGAAGGTATTCTTATGATGAAAACAGAAATAAGGGTTGAAAAGATTAGAAACCAGTGACTTTTTTTCCTAATATCATCTGATTCAGATTTCAGCAGTTTGCCATAATGGAAGTCTGAGCTTATCAATGACAGGATGTGTCAACACAACCAAAGCAAAGAGGATTAATATGGGAGGTCACTGAATGCCTAGTGATCTACATAATACACATTTCTTATTGCAACATCTTGCTCCCATGTTGGATATTTAAAAATCTTCCCACAGTTAGATCATTCTCTTTCAGGAGACAGAAGTGGGTCTTATTTTCTTTAATAATATTTCATCATGGCAACATTGGTAATGCCAATGAGATGATACAGTTATATGCTAGTCCTCGCTTAAGAGCAAGGGAGAATCAGAATGATCACTTTGCTCTTTTAGGGGTGAGGGATTTTCCATGGGAATCTTGTTTTGAAATTTATGGAGCATAAGTGGAGGAGCATAAAGATCATATTTCCAAAGTAAAGGTTTCTAATCCTAGGCGTTTCAGCAAGAGTAGAGAAAAAATTGCTCAGTATAAAATTCTCTGATTTTAAAATGACCACACTAAAGTCCAGTGGGTTCCCTTTATCTGCTCCTCTGTTAAGTGGCTTCCTGGCACGGTCTTACTTCCCAGATACCCAAGGATGATCCATCAAGGTGTGTTACCTGGCCTTCAAGACCACTTGGCATCCTGTCGGTTAGATCTCATGTTAGTTTTAGAGCAGTTGAGGTGAAATTCCTGGAAGGCTGTAAAAAGCTGGGTTTTATACTTTCAATTTATCATTTGAGAAACATTAAAGGTAAAAAGATTAATTTGATTGACAACAAGTATTATTGGTCATAAAAAACAAAGATGAGTGATATGCTAAGCTGTCTGACACTCAGAAAGTCTCTTCACCCTCCTTGCTACTATTTACCCCTCTTTAAAATCACAGGAGTGGACCTAATAATCTCTTCCTGTGGAGATTATTTCATTCACATATTTGAATTTTTGTGGAAAAAAGGCAGCATTGTGTGATGGTCAAGCTGGACCCTGTTACTAGACTGACCATGTTCAAATCTCAAAGTTGGGGTAAGTGACATGACCCTTATGTATCTCAATATCTTCATCTGTAAAATGGGTCCAATATTAACCTACTTCTTAGGCATGTGGTAATACTTATGTGTGTTAAATAATATAAATATAAAAACAGCACTTAAGAAACAACAAACACTATTTAAGTGGTAGCTATTATGTTCATGCATAGCCTGTAAATTCTTTTTCTGAATGTGGCCATCCATTCATTGACTGATAGCAAGAGCTTGACTTGATTCTTTTTCCTCTGTGATGAATTCTGACTTATGTTTGCACTTGTTCCATTTAAATTAGGAGACCCTCATTGCTATACATATTAAGTTATTTCCTTTCAGTGCTAGTCAAGCTACAGCAACCAAGGATTAAGCTGTTCCTTGTTTCATACTGTGGGGGGTGGGGGGGTTGGGGCCGGGGATGGTTGCAGAGCCCGTGATCAGGTGGGTTTGGACTCAGAGAGACTTAGCATTTCTCTAAATAATGTAATGGTCTGACTTCTTGATTTTGTAGCAGGTGTGAATCTCAATCTACAAATTCAGAGTGTCTGAAGCATAGTTTTTTATTGCTGTAACTTTATTTTATTTCCAATTCAAAAGTCCATTTTATGATGAAGGGAAATGCAATCTAATTCTGTTTCAGGGTGTGCTAAAGTTGTGGCATCTAACAGGCCTATCTATCCAGCTCTTGGGGGGAAACTCCCTCTGTTCACTAGGTTATTTATCTGCAAAGGTATTTGTAGGTAGCACCTGGTTACCATGGTTATTGAAGCCCCTAGCTCCCGACTTTAGACACACAAACTTTGCAAGGCTGTTGGTGGTCCCTTCTGCCTAGATGTGCCAAACCACTATTATCTCTTTGCCAAGAAAATGTTGAACCATCTGCTACCAAATAACCGTCCTGCACCTGACCTTTTTGAAGCAAGTTCATGACAATCACAGACTGACTTGCCTGTTACATTCCTCCACTGAGGATATCTGTATGGAATCATCTGTCTATTGGGGGTGGGGTAAGGCAGAATGGTGAAGGAAAAAAATACAAGAAATAAAATCATGAAGACATAAATGGATATCCCTGATTATTATCCTTCTACAAGAGTATAAGCCACTGGGTTTGGGTGTAAGTTAAGTAGAATAATGAAACATTTGTAAAAATATGCATAGTTAGAAGGAAAAGGAAAACAGGTGTAGAATCTGAGCTTGGATATGGATATAAAAGAGGACAATGAATAAAACCATTAGGATCCCTTGCTGTACTCAAAGTCATTTTTTAAAGAATAGCAACAGAAACTGTTCTCTTGACTTAGGGATGTTGTATCTTGTATGTTTCAGTAGCTTTCCGACAAGAGAAAGCTTTCCTTGATTTCCTCATGAACGCCCTACCCTGCCTCTCAGTCTCTTAAGACCTTGGAGTTTCAGTGCTTCATTGTTTCATTGATCAGTTTCATTCTGATCCCATGATCCCATTCTGCATCAGTATTTCTTGAAAGGAACCAATCCTAGAAGATGATTAGGAAAGAAATATTACAAAGTGGTATGAGCTTGGTCCATTCAATCAACTGCTGTTTATTAAGCATCTACTATGTGGCAAGAATAGTGATAATAAAAATTATATTGTGACTTCTGCCATGAAATAATTCAATTTAAAAGGAAACTGAACAAATAAATATACGTAAATATGGGTGTTTTGATAGAGAAAGATGCATAAGGTAGAATGGCAGGTTGGGGACAAGAGGAGAAGGCTGTATGGTTTTCTTAGGGAGGTTTTGGTGAGAAAAATAGAAACTATTCTAGGCATGCAAACAGGAAGGGACTTAATATAAGGATTTAGGTGCTTACAAAGCCTTTGGAGGTGCTGGGCTGGCAACAAAGGTCAGAGAAGTCTATTGTTGGCTCTCAATTTTTCTGCTTACTTTGATGGAATCAGGAAGTTGCAGAAATACAAGATGCCCAGTAATCCCAGTTACTTTCATCCAAATCCCATGAAATGCTTTTCTTTATGAGATCCATGCCTGAATACTGCTGGCAGAGACCTGTGGGAATGTAACCCTAGGGCTTCCAGTCCTTGTGATGTAAGGGAGAGCACAGAAGAGGGAAGGCAGTATTGAGTTGCCAGCAGACTTGACATGATGGCAGAATGGAAAGGTTTATGAATAATCAGAAAACCTGAGCATATCTGCAACCATGGACAAGAGGCTAAATCCTTTGGAGCCTCAGTGTCCTGTTCTACAAAATGAGAATGAATAAATTTCTCTTAGGTTTGTGATCCAAGAGATCGTATGTATGTATGCATGTATTTGTTTTAAAGATTTTATTTCATTTATTTATTCATGAGAGACACAGAGAAAGAGATAGTGAGACAGGAAGAGGGAGAAGCAGGCTCAGTGCAGGGAGTCCAATGCCAGACTCGATCCCAGCAACCTGGGACCATGCCCTGAGCTGAAGACAGATGCTCAACCACTTAGCCGCCCAGACATCCACTAGGGATAGCCTTTTTTTTTTTTTTACTTATGATAGTCACAGAGAGAGAGAGAGAGAGAGGCAGAGGCACAGGCAGAGGGAGAAGCAGGCTCCATGCACCGGGAGCCCGATGTGGGATTCGATCCCGGGTCTCCAGGATCGCGCCCTGGGCCAAAGGCAGGCGCCAAACCGCTGCGCCACCCAGGGATCCCTAGGGATAGCTTTTAAATGCTGAAGATCGCAGTTGAGAAGTGGCTTGGTCACTTAGGATGTTGTTTAGAATGGGAGCTGATCATTAAAAAATGCCTATATACTTCTTGACAACTTTCTTCTTGGGTCACGCTTTCTCTTTGTTTTCATTTCTTTAACATATTTTCTTCAGATCAGATACTGATCAGTAGTTATGACAATAATGAACCTTCAGAATTTTGTTAAAAATATGCAACTTTGGGGGAATGTGTTCATGGGGA